CACTTCCCCCTGGATATAAAAGGAAAAAATTTAAAAAGACCAAAATTTTTAAATAAAAACAAAAAAACTCAGATGATGGGGTTTTAAAAAAATTTTAAAAATTTTGTGTGTGTGACCTAAATGTAAAAATAGAAGTAGCAAGACATGCCTGTAATCTTGCATATTTTTTGAGACAGACAAAAGACATCAGCAATCCACCATCATGTAAAACAATCAAGGCTTCGTTTACACTCACTTGGGAGGACGGTAGTACCTCCCCGGGGGGTTCTGTCTACCAACCTACTACCACAGGACGGTTGTACCCCCTGGTGGTTCTGTCACCAACCTACTACCACGGAGGTAGTACCTCCCTGGGGGTTGCTGTCTACCAACCTACACCACAGGACGGTTACCCCCGGTGGTTTCTGTCTACCAAACCCACTACTATTATTTTTATTAAAAAAAAAAAAGAATTTTTTATTTTTCCAAAATTTGAGCCAGAGGTAGTGAAAACAAAAAAAACTATGACCATTTAGGGGTTTAAAGGCTAGCTCCTTTGGGAAAGGATTAAAGGGATAGCTGAGGGGGCCACGTATTTAAAATTATTCGATTCAGCAGACACTCCGACTATCCGCCCTATCTGTCCATTATACGAAAGGTTTTTCTGACATATTTTTATTTTTGGACGTGAAGAACACACTTTAATGCACAATGCCCTTACATTGAAAAGGGTTTACTGTAAAATTTTAAAATTCTTTATAATGACAAAACTGTATACATTATTTACAACAGGGAAAATATAGATTAATATGCATAGAATACATCAGTGTAAAAGTAGCATAAGAGGTACTTAAGTTAAAAAATATTAGGGGAAAAACACAGGTAAAAACCAATTTTAAAGAATTTTAGATGTAACTCTTTCATTCTCATATAGATCTATGTCATAGATGCTAGTGTCGTTTACATAGATCTTTGTCTTAATCATAGCACCCTCAAATACGCCATGCAGTAAATTTTGGCAAACGTATGAGAGAATGTGGCAGATGTTGCAAATGTATGGAAAAGGATGTAGGTTACTGAAAGCGGTGAAGAGTTTTTACGAAGATAGTGAGGCTCAAGCTAGAATATGTAGGTGAGAGGGGGATTATTTCCCAGAAAAAGTAGGACCTAGACAGGGATGTATGATGTCACCATGGTTGTTCAATATATTTACAGATGGAGTAGGAAGAGAAATGAATGCTCAGGTGTTGGCAAGAGGTATGGAGTTAGTACAGGTCTCCCTCAACATTCGCAAGGGTTAAGGGATCAAGAGCCTCGTGAATGTTGAAAAATCGCGAATGTTTGGTGCCCCAATATATTGTAGAGAAATATAATACAATACTGCTTCCTTAACTTGTTGAACCATGAACAATCATAAAATACATGAAAACGTCGTAAATTGTACTAAATACATACATGTTATGGCTTAATAACATGTATGTTATTAAATACCACTACCTCCACCATTGCCTCCACCACTTCCTCAACCACTGCAAGTCCCTACTACCCTCCCTCCGACCCCTGCAACCCTCCCACCCACTGCCTCAATCGCTGCCTCAACTGCTGCCTCTACCATTGCCTCAACCACTGCATCAACCGCTGCCTCAACCGCTGCCTCAACCGCTGCCTCACCCACTGCCTCAACCGCTTCCTCAACCACTGACTCAACCACTGCCTCTACCACTCCAGTCGCACTCAATCTACAAGCACCAAACACAATGAATTATTGTGAAATGTTTGGAAGAGCACAGAGACTAATGCTCACTTCAGCATAAACAAAGCCACACTGACGATGTGTCAACCACTCCCTCGTATTTTTGTGCAATTTCCTTCTTCAATTCTATCGTATTTATTATTATTATTATTATTATTATTATTATTATTATTATTTATTATTATTATTACTGTTGTTATTATTAGCAGTAGCAGAAATGTTTGATTCTTTGCTCTGTTCAAGAGTAAACACATGATGTCACCGTCCAATACCTGTCCGAATAGCCATTCCAATATGCAGTCATGAATGGGTTTACATTATTTATACTGTAGTTTAATAGCAAATAATGAACAAACAAAACACTCACGACACAGTGGTGGGAGGGCTGGCTGCCAGTTGCGGGGGTCGGAGGAAGGGTAGTAGGGACTCGCATTGGTTGAGGAAGTGGTGGAGGCAGTGGTATTTAATAACATACGTGTTATTAAAGCATAACATGTATGTATTTAGTACAATTTACAACATTTTCATGTATTTTATGATTGTTCATGGTACAACAAGTTAAGGAAGCAGTATTGTATTATATTTCCCTACAATATATTGGGGCACCAAACATTCATGATTTGTCAACATTCGCGAGGCTCTTGATCCCCTAACCCTCGCGAATGTTGAGGGAGACCTGTACACACACCCCTCCGGGTTTTCTGCTATTTTCTTTCTAGTTCTTGTTCTTGTTTATTTCCTCTTATCTCCATGGGGAAGTGGAACAGAATTCTTCCTCCGTAAGTCATGTGTGTTGTAAGAGGCGACTAAAATGCCGGGGGCAAGGGGCTAGTATCCCCTTCTCTTGTATATATTACTAAATTTAAAAAGAGAAACTTTCGTTTTTCTTTTTGGGCCACCCTGCCTCGGTGGGATACGGCCAGTGCGTTAAACGAATAATAATAATAATAATAATAATAATACATATGTATGTAATAATAATTCAGAATGCTGCTGCTAGTTGGCACAGATGATGCCAAAACATCCGGTAAGCAGTCCACATGTTTACATCACTGTGGGAGCAGTTCTCTCATGCCTGTTTACATTTTTTTTACAGTCATCTGGCTAATTTTCTTCTTTCTAACCATGGGTCCTAAGAAAGTAAGTGCAAAGAACAGCTCTGAGAAGAAAAAGACGATTTCCATGGGCTTAACCAGGCAATACATCACATGCCGCACCCTCAACCTCCCCACCATCATCCCCCACCCTCAACATCCCTCACCCTCAGCATCCCCCCCACTCTCAACATCCCCCCACCCTCAACATCCCCAACCCTCAACCTCCCCCACCCTCAACATTGCCCACCCTCAACCTCCTCCACCTTCAACCTCCCCCACTATCTCTGTTCCAAGTGTGTAAGTACATACACACTCTATACAAACAGTTTTTAGCCTAAAAAATACTCCATTTTCTCTTACAGTAAGAGCATGGGAAGATACTATGGTCAAATTGGGACAGGAAATGGTGGACACTTCCACTGCTGCCTCTGCCACCATATTATGGCCTAGGAAAGGTTGGAGGGAGGGGGTAAAGGAGGTTTTTGTGTGCAAGGGGCTTGGACTTCCAGCAGGCATGCATGAGCATGTTTGATAGGAGTGAATGGAGACAAATGGTTTTTAATACTTGACGTGCTGTTGGAGTGTGAGCAAAGTAACATTTATGAAGGGATTCAGGGAAACCGGCAGGCCGGACTTGAGTCCTGGAGATGGGAAGTACAGTGCCTGCACTCTGAAGGAGGGGTGTTAATGTTGCAGTTTTATAACTGTAGTGTAAAGCACCCTTCTGGCAAGGCAGTGATGGAGTGAATGATGGTGAAAGTTTTTCTTTTTCGGGCCACCCTGCCTTGGTGGGAATCGGCCAGTGTGTTAATAAAAAAAAATTTATTCATTCTAGAGTATATATCATGTTTCTGTGACAATTATTTTGTATATTATGTCATATTGCACGAATTGTGATAGATAAATAAGCCGTACAGTTGATAATAGCATCATATTCAAGTATTTTTTTCTTGTCTCCAGAGTGCAGGGATGAATAAATGGCTTTTCAATTAATTTAAATGAGGAAAATTAATTTGATATATGAGTAAATTGAGTTACAAGCTAGGTCAAGGTTCCACTGTATTTTAAATTCTAATTTACTGAATTTTATGTAAAATAGGTCAAATTGTCAATTTCTAGGCACTTGAAAGGGAAGTGCTGATAACTGAATGGGAAAGTTCTTGTGCTCATTCACTAGATCGGAAGGTATATTAGCTAAGAAGCTAGGAATTGGGTTAGTTTGATGAATGGAAGCAGCCTAAAATAGGCCACAAAATGAGTGAAATTGCAACTGAGTAAAGTGCTTCCCAACTTTTGCCTTCATGTCTGCATAATTCCCAAACTTTTTGCATTTTGGAGTCATTACCTTCAGAAAAAGTCTACCATTTTAGGTGATAATATTTGTTTTGTAAAAATGACAACACTGACAGAACTTTTAATTTAGGGGATCACAACAATGAAAGGTTTAGTGGACAAAATCTGTGGCCAGACAATATCCAAAAAGAACAGACAGAATCAGTTATATCTAGAATTGTTTGCTCTTGCTGCAATCCTCTATGTAAATTTATTTAGGTTTAATGGATGAAGTCTGTTAAATCCAAAATTGTCCATTATTGTTACAACCAGAAAACATTTTCATCATTCAGATTTAAAGGACATTTAACTGTAATAAATACTTCCTACCAGTTTATTAAATCAAGCTTTCACTCTATTTCAGAATGCTTAACAAACAAAAATCTCCTTTACTATGAAAGATAGGCAGCCAAATACAATGGTGTACATGAAAGCAAACTGAAAACAAATGTGCATATGAAGGAGTTCTTTGTAGTTGAAGGAGCCACTTAGGACACAGAAGGCTAGACCACACAATTACCTTCACCTCAGGTCTTGTGTGTGTTGCATTAATTCTGTCTTTATTAATAACACCTGTGATGAAGAGAAGACACACCTGCAGAACAAGCTTTGGATTGGGATAATGTTTTGCTCAATGTAGAATTTTATCAAGTTATAAAACTTAACAGAGCAAAATTTTGTCCTGTCCCAATGGAAGGTTGTTCTGAGAAGGTATCTTCTTCACTACTGTTGGCAGAACAGGTATACCATTTGTATGGAATGGTACCCCTTTAAGCTTTTAGAAAAATCTTTTTATGCCTTACTCTAATGGCCATAGAGGAAAAAAGATTTTCATTTACCTTTTTTAAAGTAAGTGGTGGATTGCTTTCATCCCAGTGTTGACCATCACCCCATCTGAAGGACTCTGGCTCTGTACCAAGCATGTCTAACTGGTGCGAGAGTGACTGTGACATGGCAGGAGAAAGTCCCATTGAATAAGATGACAGGTGTGAGTACGATCTTGACATTATGTCAAGATTGGAACCCTGTGAGATGCTGAACTATGGAAACAGAACAGACAAAATTAGTGAGGTGCATAGTCAAATTACCTATATTAATAATGAGAAGTATTTTATAAAAACAAGGCTCTTCTAACCTATGAAAAAACATTATTAGTTAAGGTATTTACAAATAATTTGATATGCTTCACAAGTCATATAATAAATACTCCACATAAAAAATAAATGAATACATACATACATACATACATATATGCATGCATGCATGCACACAGACACAAACACACACACACACAGGAGCTGACTCAACCCCTGCAACCACAATTAGGTGAGTACACACACACACACACGGTTTCATGGAAGGCAAATCCTGCGTCACAAACCTGGAGTTTTATGATAAAGTAACAAAAGTAAGAGACGGGGTTGATTGCATCTTCTTGGACTGCAAGAAGGCCTTCGACACAGTTCCTCACAAGAGATTAGTGCAGAAACTAGAGGATCAGGCACGTATAATGGAAAGGGCACTTCAATGGATCAGAGAATACCTGACAGGGAGGCAACAATGAGTCATGGTGCGTGATGAGGTATCACAGTGGGCACCTGTGACGAGCAGGGTCCCACAGGGGTCAGTCCTAGGACCAGTGCTATTTTTGATATACGTGACTGACATGATGGAAGGGATAGACTCAGAGGTGTCCCTGTTTGCAGATGATGTGAAGTTAATGAGGAGAATTAAATCAGATGAGGATCAGGCAGACTTTCAAAGAGACCTGGACAGGCTGGACACGTGGTCCAGCAACTGGCTTCTTGAATTCAACCCTGCCAAATGCAAAGTCATGAAGATTGGAGAAGGGCAAAGAAGACTGCAAACAGAGTATAGACTAGGTGGCCAATGACTGCAAACCTTGCTCAAGGAGAAAGATCTTGGCGTCATTATAACACTGAACATGTCTCCGGAAGCACACATCAACCAGATAACTGCTGCAGCATATGGGTGCCTGGCAAACCTGAGATTAGCATTCCGATACCTAAATAAGGAATCTTTTAAGACACTGTACAGCGTGTACGTCAGGCCCATACTGGAGTATGCAGCGCTAGTTTGGAACCCGCACCAGGTCAAGCACGTTAAGAAATTACAGAAAGTGCAAAGGTTTGTGACAAGGTTAGTTCCAGAGCTAAGGGGAATGTCCTATGAAGAAAGGTTGAGGGAAATCGGCCTAACGACACTGGAGGACAGGAGGGATAGGGGAGATATGATAATGACATACAAAATACTGCATGGAATAGACAAGGTGGACAGAGACAAGATGTTCCAGAGAGGGGACAGAAACAAAGGGTCACTCTTGGAAGTTGAAGACTCAGATGAGTCACAGGGATGTTAGGAAGCAGTTCTTCAGTTATAGAGTGGTCAGGAAGTGGAATAGTCTGGCAAGCGATGTAGTAGAGGCAGGAACCATACATACTTTTAAGACAAGGTATGATCAAGCTCATAGAGCAAGGGGAGAGAGAGGACCTAGTAGATATCAATGAAGAGGTGGGGCCAGGAGCTATGTTTCAACCCCTGCAACCACAAATAGGTGAGTACATACATACAGAGGAAGAGAGAGAGGAAATGAGCTGATGTAGGTAAAAGCTCATAGCTTGCCAATAAAGTTAGGAATCCTTAACCTGTAAATAGCTTGTCAATAAAGCTAAGGATCCTTAACCTTGTCAACCCCAGTGTAAAAAAAAAAAAGGGAGAGAGAGAGAGAGAGAGAGAGAGAGAGAGATACAGAGAGAGAGAGATACAGAGAGAGAGAGATACAGAGAGAGAGAGAGAGAGAGAGGAGGAGAAGAGAGAGAGAGAGAGAGAAGAGAGAGAGAGAGAGAGAGAGAGAGAGAGATACAGAGAGAGAGAGATACAGAGAGAGAGAGATACAGAGAGAGAGAGAGATACAGAGAGAGAGAGAGATACAGAGAGAGAGAGAGATACAGAGAGAGAGAGATACAGAGAGAGATACAGAGAGAGAGAGATACAGAGAGAGAGAGATACAGAGATACAGAGATACAGAGATACAGAGATACAGAGATACAGAGATACAGAGGTACAGAGGTACTAGTACCTCTGTACTAGCATGTGCAATGTACAGACCTCAGTGGCAACATGCAGACCCCATCAACTTCCTAATGGAAAATATTGACTCCCTTCTGCTACAACACAACTGTCAACATATCATAATTGTTGGTGACCTCAACCAACACTTTATACAGAGGGACTTCGATGACCTTCTTGCAGTATTTGATATGAGAAACTTTGTTGATTTCCCTACTCACATCTCTGGCTCCTCCATTGACCCAGTAGTGAGTGACCTGGCAGAAGCCATAGTCACTTGTCAACCCCTCGGCTACATTGGATCGTCTGACCACAAGGCTGTTTTTACGACACTTAAGATCCCAACAGAATGAGGTGAGGAATCCACACGCACAACCTGGCTATGGGAACAGTAGGGGTTGCAAGATTCTGTACGAGGCACAAGTACACTCATACCTTGAGTATGCTCCACTTTCTTGGTTTGCCTGCCCCCTCTCTCATCTGCGACTGCTTGACAGAGTAGAGAACAGAGCAAGACGTCTCATCTCTCACCTGGACCCATCCTGGATAGATCTGTCATTTCAGCAGAGCCTTCAACATAGGAGGGATGTAGGTGGCCTTACTGTTATGTACAAGGCCAATACAGTGGACCCCCACATACCATACGCATCACATACCGTACAATCCGCATACCGGTCGCTTTGATCGCAAAAATTTTGCCTCGCATACTGCCCAAAAACCCGCTCACCGCCCTTCGTCCGAGACACGTCCAATGTGCGGCCTGAGCCAGCCTCATATGTTCCGCCGGTGGCATTGTTTACCAGCCAGCCTCCGCGGTAACATCCAAGCATACAATCGGAATATTTCGTATTATTACAGTGTTTTCGGTGCTTTATTTATTTTTTTTTTTATTTATTTCCAATTTGTGCACACATACAGAGGTACAAAAAAAATACAGATAAGAGCAGTATGCCAAAGCCACTTATACTATGCATAGCATTACGGGCTGGCTTAAAATTAACTTAAGATTAACTAAGCAATGATTATTATTATTTCGGGCCACCCTGCCTTGGTGGGAATCGGCCAGTGTGATAATAAATAATAAATAAAAATAAATATAATCAAAAAGAAGCGCTAAGCCACAAGGACTATACAGCGCTGTCTACAAGCAATGAGTGAAATCAGTGATAAACATTAATGTAACAGATACTATCTGGAAAATAAGTGGACCAGTGGGCCCCAGAAGCTTCTAGTTCAACCCATAATCAGCAATAAGGGTGAAAAAATCCAATAGAGATGAAGAAAGAGATCATTGATAAGTATGAAGTGGAAGTAGCGTGCGCCGACCTGGTCATGGTTATACAAGAAAACACAAATCAACCAATCTCTACTATTGTGGGCAAACAAAAGGCAACAAGGAAGCTGTTCTTGCCAAGTTAAACTTGTTTTCGAAACAGAGATCGCAAGTGAATGGAAGATGTTGAGAGACTCTTATTGGTGTGATAAATGAAAACAGCGTAGCAGGAGATAGAGTCTCTCAAGCGTCTAAGAAAAGGCTAGGAAGTTGCATGAGATTTAATTAAAAAAAATGCCTGCAACTAGTGATGAAGTGAGTGAATTTAAGGCCAGCAAAGGGGTTGGGTTTTGAGGTTTTTAAGAACCCTAGTGGCATACTTTATGTGATAAGGAAATTTTGGGGCCCTTGCCAGTTCAGACCACAAAGCGGGCTGAAAAATATGTGGCAGGAATTCAAGGAGTAAATAGAAAATGAAGGATTTGAAACCTGAACAATTTTTTTTAATTGTGATGAAACGGGCCCCTGTTTTGGAAAAAAAATGCCAAGAAAGGAAACCTACATTACTCGGGAAGGAAAAGGCATTTCCCAGGACATAAGCCTATGAAAGCCCGGGCCCTTACTTTGTTGATGTTTTCCCAAAAGCTACTGGTGTTTGGGCCAAAGGGGAACCCTTTTTTAAAAGTGTTCATCTGAAACTCCCAGACCGGTTCAGGCAAAAGAAGTCCTAAAGGGAAATTTGTGTGTGCTGGGGAGGGAAAAACATAAGGAAAGGGGTTCACTAGGGACTTTTCTATAAACGGGTTTTTACACCATGCTTTTGCCCCCAATGTGAAAGTTTAAACCCTAACTGAAAAGAAATTAAAACCCTTTAAGTGCCTCCTGGTTTTTAGAAAATCCCCGGGTTTTTCCCAATCCAAACAGCCCGGGGCAGAGGCAAATTTTAATGGGGACATGAAACTCATTAAGGTGAATTTTTCCCTCCCTAATACCCTCCTCCCCCCTGCGGGCCCAAATGGACCAAAATTTTAATTGCAAATTTAAAAAAACTTTACAAAAAAAGTCTGTTTAAAAGGTTTTTGGGTTAGTGACCTCAGAAACTCAACTGACTCTAAAGATTTTTGGGGAGAGATCATTTTAATATCCTAAAATTGGGTGTAACCTTATAGGTAAGGTTTGGGGAGAGAGTGAATAAAAAGACCTTGACTCTGCTTGGAAAAAACGGGTGGCCAGAATGGGGTAGAAAAAAGGGGATTTTAAAGGGGTTTGGGGCCCTAACCCTGAGAGGATTATGCCAGTTGAGGAATCCATTGTGGAAATGGGAAAGTCCTTGGGGTTGGGAGGTTAGTGGGGATGATGGGGAAAGGGTTTGGGGGGAGGAGGAAAAGAAGAACAAAACCACGTTTGACTGAAAGAAACTTCAAGAGCCAAGGGGCCCAAAAACCTAGGAAACTGGTTCAGAGGAGGGGAAAAGAAATTGAAGAAGTTCCCTACTAAAAGATTAAGGAAATCTGGGGCAAAGTGGCTTGAAGTGAAAAACCTTTTCATGGATGAAAATCACCCTCCCCCACAGCTATTGAAAGGGCCGTGTTGGCAACCTGAAACCCCAAACAATTTTTGTAAACACTTTGGGGAAAGTCATAAAGGAACGAGGGGTACAGGCCCCCCTATGGACAG